CACATCATATACAAACACCACTCACACATTCATACACACCACACACGACTTCGACACATCATACACACACTCCAACATCATACACACCTTCGAGACACATCATTACGGACACACACTTCACACAATCAGGTACACACGACATTCGACACAGTCGATTGACGACCACCAGCTGCGCGTGACCACATCATACGACACACTTCGGCACAGCATCATACACACACACTTCACACATCATACACACACTCCACATATCATACACACACTCCACACATACACACACTCCACACATCATACACAATACATACATACTCCACACATCATACACAATGCACACACTCCACACATCATACACACCACTCACACTCCACACATCATACACAATACACTCATACATCATACACACCACACACACTCCACACATCATACACAATACACTCACACATCATACACACCACACACACTCCACACATCATACACAATACACTCACACATCATACACACCACACACACTCCATACATCATACATACCACACACATATACTAAACACCAAACACACCTCACACATCATACACACCACACACACACACACTCCACACATACACAGCCCCCACACTCCACACATCATATACACCAGTGGTCCCCAACCTTTTTGGCACCAGGGACTGGTTTCCTGGAAGACAGTTTTTCCATAGACGGGGTGGGGGATGGTTTCAGGATGATTCAAGTACATTACATTTATTGTGCACTTTATTTCTATTATTATTACATTGTGTTATAGATAATGAAATAACTATCCAACTCACCATAATGTAGAATCAGTGGGAGCCCTGAGATCCCTTGTTTTTCTGCAACTAGATGGTCCCCACTTGGGGTGCTGGGAGACAGTGAAAGATCATCAGGCATTAGATTCTCATGAGGAGCGTGCAACCTAGATCCCTCGCATGCACAGTTCACAATAGGGTTCGTGCTCCCATGAGAATCTAATGCCGCCACTGATCTGACAGGAGGCGGAGCTCAGGCAGAAATGCGAGTGATGGGGAGAGGCAGTAAACACAGATGAAGCTTCGCTAGCTTGCCCACTGCTCACCTCCTGTTGTGTGGCCTGGTTCCCAACAGGTACCAGCCGGTGGCCCGAGGGTTGGGGATCCCTAATATATACCATGCGCACATGCTCCATACATACATACACATACATACCACACACACTCCACATATACACACCACACACTTACCCCACATATACACACCACACACGCACCCCACATATACCCCTACACACCTCACACATCATATGTACCACACGGACACGCACTCCACACGTACAGCCCCCACGCACTCTGCACAATCTAGCTCTGGGGCCAGACAGCTTGCCTCCTGGCCTCAGCTGTTTCTAGCTGTGTGCATGGGCAAATCCATTTACTCCTCTGAGCCTCAGGATCCCCATCTGTAGAATGGGGATAATACACCTTTCTATCTCAGTTGGTGTGAACAACTTGGCCAATTCGCTGAACATGCTTAGCACAGCACTTAGAACCTATTAGCTGTGTTCAGGATTCTGCTAGTCCAGAGCCTGGTGGGGAGGCTGAGATGAGGCTGCTTGGAAAAGCTCCCTGGCTCATCGCTGCTGAGTCACGAGCCACTGACCCGCTGCACTAGGCAGGGCTGGGGGGACCTGGCTTCCTGCCCCACCATGCAGACGCCCTGCTCTCACCTCTGCTGTCATCTTGGCTATGAGCCCTGCAGAGATGGCCCCACTGAGCACATTCCGCCGCAGGCCGGGGTTCCTGGGGTCCTTGAGGTTGCTAATGCGGCTGCGCACGCGGTTCCGGTACTTCATGTCTGTGCTCTTGAGCTCTTGGTAGATATGTGACACAGTCAAGGGTGGGCCAGCCACTCGTGGAGGGGCATGGAAGGGTGCAGGCCTGGCCCTGATGCCTGAGGAGCTCCAGGACCCTCTCTTCCTATCCCTGGATTTCTACAGGGGTTGGGCCCCTCTTTTGTGACCTCTGACTCCCCAAGTGGGGATCTCTCTTGGGCATTTGTGGTCAGCCAAGTATCAGAGACAGAAAACAGTCTCTGGGGTAAGATCAGATCATAGCAAGCACTATAGTGTCAGGGACACCAGGACCCTGGGTTTGTCTGAGCCTCTCGTGTGACCTCAGGTGAGTCACACAACCTCTATACGCCTGAGTTTCCTTATTTATAAAATACAAGGATTCTGTGAACTAAGCCACACGATGCAGTAGTGTGGTGTCTGGGATATATCAAATGCTCAACATACATGGGCTGCTAAGATGATGACAAGGATGCAGAGAACTTCTAGTTGGGAAGGGCCCCTGGAGGTTGTGAGTCCTGCTGTCAGCGGAAAAGATTGAGAGCCATATGTTTAAGGTTCTAAGAGGCCTTATTGCAAAAAAGAAACCACTGAGCTTTGTTTAATCTGGTGTTCCCAATACATTTGATTATAGAGTCCCCTTCCCCTCCATCCTTTCCGCTACAAGACCTGTTACCATCCCATGGAACCCACGCTGGGAATTGCTGGTCAGAGTTACTTCTCCCATTAATAGATGAGGCAGCTGAGGCTTAGAAAGGGTGCAGGCCCTTGCTCAAGGCCATGGGGCAAATTCCCGGCAGAGACAGGGCTGGAAGCCAGACCCCTCCTGACGGTAACACTCTCTCCACTCACCCGGCAGGAAGTCACCCCTGGCCACCAACCACAGTGAGTTTCTGTCCAAACACTGCATCCTAGGCAGGCTTCCGAGCCTCCCACTCCCTCCACCCTCTGGAGGAGCTCAGGGAACACAGCCTCATTTTCTTGGTCTCCTGAGCCAAGGAAGATCAGGAAGACAAAGCTGTTGCTGGGAATAACCATATACAAGAAAGCGACTGCGGGGAACGTGGAAAAATGAAAACAGATGACTTGCTAGAAGTGGTGGGAGGGGAGGTGGTATTCTTTCTTTATTCTGTTATTGTTTTAATGCTGTCTGTACAATAAAAGTGTGAAAAGCAAAGAATATGCCACAATGCATGTGAAAGCCAAAAAATGTGTTTTAAAATGTGCCACTTGGGATTCCTCGGGTGTACTGATATGTGGAGCCAGCAGGGCTGGCGATATTTCACCAGTCTCTGACTCCGTCTCCATGCCCCAAGGTCACAGGAGGGGACGAGGTGGAGAGCAGACCAGGGGGCACCGGCCCCTCAGAGGAACTTTTGGCTGCATTGTTAGCACAGGGCCACTCCAAAGAGCACAGATCTATTTTAGGACACAGAGCAGTCAAGCCCCCAAATGTACCCTCCCCCTGACCTCCAGCTAGCTAAGAACAAAGAGCTAAAGGGTTTGATGCAGCTTTGATTTCCTCTCCTTTAGAACAGGGACATTGAGGCCGAGCGCAGTGGCTCAAGCCTGTAATCCCAGCACTTTGGGAGGCCGAGACGGGCGGATCACGAGGTCAGGAGATCGAGACCATCCTGGCTAACACGGTGAAACTCCGTCTCTACTAAAAAATATTTTTAAAAAAACTAGCTGGGCGAGGTGGTGGGCGCCCATAGTCCCAGCTACTCGGGAGGCTGAGGCAGGAGAATGGCGTGAACCTGGGAGGCGGAGCTTGCAATGAGCTGAGATCCGGCCACTGCACTCCAGCCTGGGCAACAGAGCGAGACTCCGTCTCAAAAAAAAAAAAAAAAAAGTGGATGGAGGAAAGGCTGGGAGTGGAACTTTTTACTGGACCATCTGCTGTTGTTTCAAACTGGGCTTAAAGGTGGAAAGGACCTGCTTGGAGGGATGACTGTTCAGGAGAAAATGAAGATGAAACTTGTGATAGTTCTGATACCTTGGGTTCTGCCTTCCTGAATTAATGGGAAATGATGAAAATGTACTTTTTGAGGTGCTGAATGGCTCCAGACTTGTTGAGGTATTGCTGATTAATCATTAAATGAGAGTAGAGAGAAACCACCAGAAAATGAGTTGGAGGGAATTAGGGTAGGCCACAGGCAGGAGATGGAAACGCAAATTTGTCGTCTGCAGATTGGCCCCTGACCCTCCCCAACAGACCCTGCTGAACTCCGCAGGTAGAGCCCAGGAGCCCTCAAAAGGGTCGCTTGCATCTCGGTGTGACACTTAGACTTCCTGTCCCCTGATTGCCTCCCCGCTCCAACACCATGCAAACCTTTGTCTCTAGTAAAAGAAGCTCCATGTTTTCATTCAATGGGGGCCAAGTGAGGAGGGAATTTTTTTCTCCCAAGCCAAACATCTTTTGGTGCAAGAGATCTATTAATATATCCCAGTGGTGGTCACCTCTCCTGTCTACACAAGGCCCCTTTCAGGTGATAAGCTGGGGAGCAGGGGGCACATCGAAAGGGTTCAGTAGGTGGAATCCAAAGACAAAGTCTCCAGTCCCGCTTTGACACCAAGTAGTTCTGAGCCTCAGACTCCTCTTCCGTAAAATGGGAACCGTCCCTGCCTCACAGAGAATGCTGTGAGAGCTAACAGAGGTAGGAATTGTCAATTGGCCATTGCAGTGCTTGATATATATTTGGGAGTAAAAAATGGGGCAGGGGGTGCTGGGCATGGTGGCTCACGCCAGTAATCCCAGCACTTTGGGAGGCAAAGCAGGGGTGCATCACCTGAGGTCAGGAGTCCGAGACCAGCCTGACCAACATCGTGAAACCCATCTCTACTAAAAATACAAAATTAGCCAGGTGTGATGGTGCATGCCTGTAATTCCAGCTACTTGAGAGGCTGAGGCAGGAGAATTGCTTGAACCCAGAAGTTGTAGGTTGCAGGGAGGCGAGATTGCGCCATTGCACTCCAGCCTGGGCAACAAGAGCGAAACTCCGTCTCAACAACAATAAAAAAAGGGGAGCTGTTAACATCAGAGGATGGGAGAAGGGAAAAGGCTGAGCATGAGAAATGCTGACTTCTCAGTCTAGTCTGTTCTTGGAGGTAACGACTTGACCAACTGAGACACGCTATGACACAGCCTAGCTGGCACAGCCGCTGAGCCTCCAGGTCCCAGGGCCACACTTTCTGGGTTCAGATCCCATCTCTGCTACTACTGTTAGCTGTATGGGCTTTGGGAAATGATTCGACCTCTCTGAGTCTCGGTGACTTCACCCATGAAACTGGATAAATCAGGGAACCTACCCTGTGGGGTTGTTATCAACACTAAATGAGGTACTGCTCATTTTCAAGTTTTGCTGGCAGGTGTAAAATAATAATTAATGTTAGATAGAATTAAGAGCTCTGGTTCAGGGGCAGAGCAGGGGCTGTTCCTGGAGCCCTTCCTCTCCTTCCTCACTCTCCCAGCTCGCTTGCACCTTGGAGGGGTGCTGCTAGACGGTCCAGACACCCACAGCCCTGGCACAATTCAAGGATATGATCTTCGATTTCTGATGCCATCTTGTCACAGTTGACTCCATAGTCCTTGTAATCATCTAAAAGAGATTCGAGAAATACAGGTATCAGCCAGACACAACATAGGCAGTGAAGCCTGCTTGTGCCAGGAACTACAGTGTTCCTGTACCATCCCCAGGGGTGCTGAGAAAGACTGAATCTCATCTGCCCTTGGCGAGATTGGGAAAAGGAACCCCTTCCCTCCCTCATCCCTAGCCCAGGCTCTCTCACCGTCCGCTTTCAGGGCTGCTGACAGCATCTCCACACACTTGTCCCGGACAGAGTCCCCTGTGAGATAGCAGGGGGCCAGGAGACAGATGGAGGAGGCAAACGTGGGGGTCAAGGGGCTGCTAGGTGTTCTGGGGCTCTCCGCTTTTGATTTGCTGCTGTTTGATCTGAGGATGACAATCAGTAACAGACATTTGACATTAAGAGAGTAAAGCATTTATTGAGCAGCATTCTACATGTCTTGATGGATGATCTCCTATAATCCTCATAACCCGATGAGGTAGGTACTATTTTAGGCATTTGACATGGATCATCTCATTTAATCCTCGTGACAACCCCATGAGGTTGATACTATTCTTATCCCCATTTGAGAGACGCATTTTAAAGTGCATGGTAGAGAAAGATGTATCTAAAGGTGCACTTGGCTCAGGTCACACTTCGACGAACCAGTAGAAACAGAATTCAAACCCAGGCAGTTGGCTCTTAACCAGCCACTGTGCTTTCCTCATTGTAGAACAGTGTAACGCCACCAATAATTATATGCAATTGATTATGCACTGTGCTAGCTGCTATCTATGCTCTCCTAAATGTATGAACTGTTTATTCACTCATTCACTAAATATTTATTAGACACCTATTCTCCAGGTACTTGCCAAGAACAAGGGATAATGCAGATAAGTCAGCAAAGCTCCTTCCCTCAAGGGGCTTACAGTCTAGTGAACAGCGACTATCTACCACCATTTAAAAGGGCTGGCTTTACTGGATGCCAGAACTGTGCCAGGCACTTTACAAGCATTTTCCAATTTAATCTTCATACCCGTCCCAGGAGGCAGATACTCTCATCATCCCCATTTAAAGATGAGGAAATAAACCCAGAGAGGTACACCACTGAGATTTGCCTAAGGCTATACACCACCACGATTTGAACCTACATCTGTCTAATTCCAACACCTATGCTCTTTTTATTAATTTATTTTGTGAGATAGGATCTCTCTCTGTCACCCAGGCTGGAGTGCAGTGGTGCAATCATGGCTCACTATAACCTTGACCTCCTGGGCTCAGACAATCCTCCCACCTCAACCTCCAAGGAGCTGGGATCACAGAAGCACACCATCATACCTGGCTAATTTTTACATTTTTTTGTGGAGATGGGATCTCACCATGTTGCTCAGGCTGATCTAAACCTCCTGGGCTCAAGCAATCCACCTGCCTTGGCCTTCCAAAGTGCTGGGATTACAGGTGTGAGCCACCACACCCAGTCAACACCTATGCTATAATCTATGATGTACTATCCAAGAATTATCTCATACTGGTTTTAAGTGTATATGTGTGTGTGTGTGTGTGTATGCATACACGCACAGACATTTAGAAGGCTAACTATGTGGCTCAAGCTGTCATAACAAAATATCAGACTGGGTGGTTTCGCTAACAGAATTTATTTCTCATGGTTCTGGAGGCTGGGAAGCCCAAGATCAAGTTGCTGGCCAATTTGCTTTCTGGTGAGGGCTCTCTCTTTGCTTGCGAATGGCAGTCTTCTCATTGTGTTTACATGGTGGCTCTTCTCATAGGGACAGTAATCCTATTGGATCAGGGCTCCACCCTTATGACCTCATTTAACCTTAACGAAGGCCCTATCCCCAAATACAGTCACAATGGGGTTTGGGATTTCAACATATGAATTTTAGGGGGTCACAAACATTCAGCCCATAACACCATGTTAATAGCAATTATCTCTCTGAGGTGGAATGATAGATTTCCTTTGTTTGCTTATGCCTATTTGCTAAATCTTCTATAAAGAATATATCCACTTTTGTGATGTGAGAAACACTTTTTTTTTTTTTTTTTTTTTGAGAGGGAGTCTCGCTCTGTCATCCAGGCTGGAGTGCAGTGACACAATCTTGGCTCACTGTGACCGCCACTTTCTGGATTCGAGCGATTCTCCTGCCTCAGCCTCCCTAGTAGCTGGGATTACAGGCGTGCGCCACCACGCCCAGCTAATTTTTGTATTTTTAGTAGAGATGGGGTTTCGCCATGTTGGCCAGGCTGGTCTTGAACCCCTGACCTCAGGTGATCTACCCGCCTTGGCCTCCCAAAGTGCTGGGATTACAGGCATGAGCTATGGTGCCCAGCCAAAAAATGCATTTGTGCCAGAAATGCATGGAAGTGTGGAAGACCAAGGTTTGCATGGGCAATGTCAAAGGGCTCAGTGTAGCTGGAGCGTGAGGGCGAGGGAGCTTGTGAGAAGGAGAGGGAGTTGGAGAGAAAAGATCTAACCAGACTCTGGGGTTTGTTAAGGATGGTAAAACAAAAGCCACCATTTACCGCAGGTCTGCTCTTTATTCTTCTTGATAACCCTAAAAGTCACAAATTACTGGGCCCATTTTACAGATGATGGAACGGAGCCTTGAAGAAGTGAAGTGTGTCAATCATAGCTCACTGCAATCTCGAACTCCTGGGCTCAAATGATCCTCCCGCCTCAGCCTCCCAAGTAACTAGGACTGACTCCGGGCAGATGCTGCCACATCAGGCCATTTTTTTTTTTTCTGTAGAAATGGGGTTCTCAATATGTTGCTCAGGCTGGACTCAAACTCCTGGCCTCAAATGATCCACTCGCCTTGGCCTCCCAATGTGCTGGGATTACAGGCATGAGCCACTGTGCCTGGCATGACTTTGTGATAGTTGCACAACTCCCTCCCTCCAGAGATGTTTTTGCACTATTCTTAGGGTAGGAGCCAGGAAGTTAGGAAGTCTCTGTCTTCATTCCTCTGCTCTTCTCACCTCCTTTTTCAATAACCCATCAGAATCTGCCAGCCAGCCCCTATATCTCTGCTCAGAAAAAAGTGGATTCATCAGAGTTGAAAAAATTAAGGTCCCCTCCTGGAGTGAAATTAAGACCCACTCGAGGGTCTTACCAAACTGAGCCCTTGTGGAAGTGCCCAGAGAGCTGCTGCATTTCCTCACTCCAGGAGGCACCATTCACATTATTAGCTTGATACCTCCTGTAATTGTACAGTGCACAGCCTGGGCAGCTGCACCAGGCAGCCTTGGGACCTGGATCCACAGCTGTTTCTCATGTTCACTTTCAGGCTGTAGACATGCTACTTCCTTTCAGGAAGAAGAGGATTCTGGACTTCTGCCAAAGTCTTTCAGGCCCAGGGAGTTGTGTCTGAGAGTGAGACTGACTGAGTAGCCCAGACTTCTCAGGATCAACAACCTGGAGTTACCAGAGAATCTCATCCAACATCCAGCTGGGCACAGCTCAGTGTGGACTCTGCTGGTGACCTCCCTGTCCCCCACCTCTTGCTGTTTGGCCTGACCTTGGATCCCCTCTTTCACTCCAGACCCCTGGACCTTTGGGATTTTTGCATTCTCTAGAGACTTGAGGTTCCTCAAAGGTGTCTCCGTGCATACTGGTGAGGTGGGCCGGGGATGCAAAGCTCTGTTCTTATAAGGTTTACATTTTGAATTTCTAAAAATTTTGTCCAAAGGGATTCATTTCCTAGCTTTTATTTATTTATTTATTTTTAATGCAGTTTTGAAACTTGCTGTCCTAGATTAATCTAGCCTTGATTCTACCCAACCCTGCCTGACAACTGGGTTGCCTGGCAGCATGGTGGAGGGACAGGGAAGCTGAGATCCAAGCAGATTTTTCCTGGAGTCAGACTGCAGCAGGAGGTTTGGGTGAGGAAAGGCTGGACAGGGTGTGAACTAGTGGGGCTGTCGGCAACCAAAAATGGATGTGCCTGCCCCCAAGCCTGGTCCTGGTCACGGGGTTCCCACCTGAACAGTCACAACAGCCCCCAAACTGGTTTCCTTGTGTCCTCTTCCCCCACTACAACCCATTTGCCAAAGGGCAGCCAGAGGGACTTTTCAAAAATCCATAACTGATCAAGTCACTCCCCTGCTTCTAACCCTCCAACACAGGGTTCTCACCCCCTGGGGCCACAGACCAGTACCGGTCTGTGGCCTGTTAGGAATCGGGTCACACAGCAAGAAGTGGGACTATTTTTTTTTTTTTTTTTTTTTTTTTTTTTTTTTTTTTTTTGAGACGGAGTCTCGCTCTGCCGCCCAGGCTGGAGTACAGTGGCCGGATCTCAGCTCACTGCAAGCTCCGCCCAGGCTGGAGTACAGTGGCCGGATCTCAGCTCACTGCAAGCTCCGCCTCCCGGGTTCACGCCATTCTCCTGCCTCAGCCTCCCGAGTAGCTGGGACTACAGGCGCCCGCCACCTCGCCCGGCTAGTTTTTTGTATTTTTAAAGTAGAGACGGGGTTTCACCATGTCAGCCAGGATGGTCTCGATCTCCTGACCTCGTGATCCGCCCGTCTCGGCCTCCCAAAGTGCTGGGATTACAGCCACCGCGCCCGGCCAAGAAGTGGGACTATTGTGAACTGTGCACGTGAGGGATCTAGGTTACACGCTCCTTATAAGAATCTAATGCCTGATGATCAGAGGTGGAACAGTTTCATCTTGAAACCATCCCCCACAAGCCCTGGTCCGTGGAAAAACTGTCTTCTATGAAACCAGCCCCTGGTGCCAAAAAGGTTGGGGATTGGTGGTATAACAGCTTCCAATTATTTTTAGCATAAAGTAAAACTCCTGGCCAGGTGCAGTGGCTCATGCCTAAAGTCCCAGCACTTTGGGACATCGAGGTGGGAGAATCACTTGTGGTCAGGAGTTCGAGACCAGCCTGGCCAACATGGCCAAACCCTGTCTGTACTAAACATATAAAAATTAGCTGGGCATGGTGGCGCACGCCTGTAATCCCAGTTACTCAAAAGGCTGAGGCACAAGAATCGCTTGAACCCGGGAGGCGGAGGCTGTAGTGAGCCGAGATCACGCCATTGCACATCAGTCTGAGCGACACAGCGAGACTGTGTCTCCAAAAAAACAAACAAAAAGAAAACAAAAAAAACTCACCACAGCCTCCCAGCCACTGCACTTCCTGCCCCTACCCGCTTTTTGATGTAATCTCATGCCATGCTTTTCTCATGGTTTATGGAAGGCCCCCACAGCATTGCTTCTTTCTGTTCCTTAAACATACCCATCCTCCCAGTGCCAGGCCTTTGCACAGGCTGGTCTTCCTTCCTGGAATGCTCTTCCTCCTCCAGGTCTCAGCTGGCATGAGGGAGGCCTTCCGTCACCACCTCAGCCAAGGCTGACAGTTCC